GCCACGTGCGATGCAGATGCGTGCACCGCGGCGCTCAAGAGTCAACTGGACCGTGTTGCCGTGTTGTCATCCAGTGTCAGTGCGTACTTCAAACAAGACCTTTACGGATATTCGGGCAAACTCAGTTGTCTCTGTATTTGCCTCTCGTGCTATAAAGGGGTGTCCAAGCAAGATTCGGTGCTAATTGAATCTTCCAAAGTGGTGAACCAGGTTGTCAACGTGAGTGTGTCGAGCCCCGTACCACACGCAAAGGCCACCGTGAGAGCTATACGGCCTTTTAGCGTGCGCAATGGTGATGACCTTGAGATGTTTGGGACGTTTATTCCCGACTCAAGCTATATTGTCCGATTTAATCCTGCGGTTTCGGGAGGCGACAAAATGGCGGCCCCGACGTGTGCTGTCCAAAAAGTCACTACCGGTGTATTGACCTGCGAAATGCAGGTTCAAGCCGGGACCGTGGGCGGTTGGAACGTCTCTCTCTTGGACGGGGAGGCACCAGTGCCTTTTGAGGAAGGTGCCGTCAACACGATTCATGTCCTTCCACCGGATCCTTTGGTTGAGTTCGCGGCGGGGAACTGCGCTGCCGCGAGCGTAAACTGCGTTACAGGCGCGGAAGTGATTTTTCGCGGTAAGAACTTTAACCCTGTGCATCCCTTGTATAACGATGTGATTGTGGGTGACGCCGCGTCCGCCAACCCTATTCTCTGCAGGGTGACTAATGCCACGGAGAAGGAGCTTTTCTGTGTTCTCAGCATTCCGCGAGGCAAGGAACATGGCAAGTACTCAATCCAGGTTCGTGTCCGTGTGTCGGAAACGGAGTGGGGCGCAGAACAAAGTGCAGGATTTCTTGTGTTGGGGGCTGGGGCGGATGTTCCTGGGTGGAAAGCCGACAATGTGCCCCCATCTGTGCCAGTAGCTGGTGGAAATAATAAGTATGCTGCCTCCGTTCTTGGGGCCTTTCTTGGCACGGTTCTATTGGTACTTATTGCGGCGGTTTTATTTGCGTATTTTCGTCTTGGTCATGGGCCAAAATATAATGCGGATGAAGGGATTTTTTCAGACAATAAGGCGTAATTGTCTGATTTGCGGCCTTCTAAAAAGAGTGATTGCGAGAAGGCTCGTTAACTTAATATTTTCTGACATGATGAATATATTTCTCTACGATTATTTCATCACATATCCTGAAATTTTGGAGGACTGCGGTTGAATGAATCAGGGAGCCAATGGCGTCTGGACGTTTTTTAATTATTTTTGACATTTTAGTAACCCTCTTTTCGTTTTCCCAAATTGCGAGGTGGCAGGCCTTTGGGGTCCTCCAACCGAAAGACCTTTACAGTGACAGTTGTGAACACACACGCTCACACATATACACATGTCTAATTCGGACGGAGTGATCACGTCACGATGGTGGCCAGCATAACGCGCATACATAAGCATGCGCTTAATTGGTGTAAACGCTCATCGAGCACTTGGCGAGCCCGCCCCCATCCCGTTCAATCTTCATTCTCCTCTTCCGCGCCCCCTATTATTGGCAACCTCAGGTTCCGACCGGCGCATGGGAAAAACTAAAGGAGCGAGAGCAAAAGACGAGGACGCAAACAGAAGGGAGGGGAGGAAAAAAGAGGGAGCGCCCAGCTGAATCCATCCCTTTGCTTTTGTTTCGTCAGGGAGAGTGGCGGCAGTGGGGCAGCGGCGCGGGGTGGCATTTAGGAACAAAGTAATAATAATTTTCTAATAAGTAAAAACTGACGCGCACAACTGGTCGAGGAGCGGGGGTATTTGAATGGGCCCGAAAATCGGCAGCAACGGCCATCGCGTTACTTTGTTGCTGCTTCCGCCTCTTCCCTGCAGAAAATTTTGTGGTACAGAGAAAACAAGCGCTGTCCTTACAATGTTTTTTTAACCTGTGACCGGCTTCCGTGCGGGAAGCGGCTGCGCGCTCTGCGTCTTTCCTCCCCACTTTCTCATCAAAAACACGGCCTCTCGAAACAGTAATGCTGCTCTCCGGTGCCTTGTTTTCCCTTTTTTGCTTTCCCACAACGCGGAAAAGGACGAAGGAAAGGCATGAGGCGCCGCTACGGCCACTAGTGGTAGCAGTAGCGGGGGGTAAGCGGGGCGACAGAAAAGAAAGAAAAAAAAAAAAACAGGTTGCACTCGCCGCACCCCAATGCAGTACCATCGCTGGAAAAAATAATCAAGCCATGGATAAAGAATCCGGGCAATTCAACAAGACATGCCATCATCCAAATGGCTCCGTCCCGTCGCACATTCCCTACACAGGCCTCTGGGAACAACACCAAAAAGAGGGCGTCTCTCGACGAACCCTTTCAAGTAAGCATCACACAAAGAAGAACGACTGCAACCATCAAAAGGAAAAAGGGAAGGTGTGCCCTAAAAAAACGACCGGCGGACACATAACGACCGTGGATGAGAAGCCCCCAGGCGACCCGAAACACACTAAACGAACCCGCGGCGGTGAGAGGATGATCCCTCAGCACGCAGGCCACATAAGAGTGGCAGTTATTTGTAAAAAAGTTGTACAACTGAGTTTTCCTAAAATGCTTCGTAACGCGTTCCACTGCGGCGTCGTATTCCTCCACTTCCCGTCGACACGTCTCCTCCGTCGTTCGCGGGTTCTCGCCCTGAGAACGGTAAAACGTTGGAACATACATTCTAGAAATATTCCAATATTTCACCGGGTTGCCAAAAAGCATTTTGTCCACGCCAATATGATACGGACCCTCAAAGTCATGAATACGTCCAGCAGAGTCGCAAATTCCTACATGCCCAATAAAAGGAAAAATCCATGAAAGAACAGGAATGGGTGTCCATACAATGCAGAAAGGGTAGTGTTCTTCCGACGGGTCAATCCGAGGCGGAAGAGGTAGCGCAACAGACCTATTTTCCCCCATTCCCTTCCGTCCTGTCATGAACCTGGCGGCTAAAAAAAAAAAAAACGCTAATCAATCCAAAGCAAAAAAGAACTACTAAAAATGCCACTACAAACCTTCAAACGGCTTCGCAGAAGAAAGAGTGAAGAAGAAAGAAGAGACAAAATGCACTCCACCAGGCTGTTGTGTGTCAATAATGCGCTGCCACTTTCCGCCTCTTGAAACCCAAAGCAGGCAACCACCCGCGCAAAGTATATAGAGAGAATAAAGGAGGGGTGCGCCCTTCTCTCTCTCTCTCTCTTCTTCCCAATGTACCCATCCCCTTTCCCAGTGTATCCGCGTTTTGTTTTTTTAAGCCGCCACAAGAAGCCACAAACACATACAGAAAAAAAAAAAATTTGACACACAAAAAATTCCCGCCAATAACCCGTTTAAAATTTCCTAACACGCAAAAAAAAAAGGGAACATGGATAACACGCAAACGCGACAAGGAAATACAAAAAAGAAAAAAGTAATCCCGGCAATTGGGGGAACAGGTCGTGACGGGCGTGGCCTTCTTTCCGGGTTACGCTGCGACCCTCCCGGCCTGTGTGCCGCTCGCGGTGCGAAAGAGAGCCCAGAGCGGCGCAGGGACTTCACGCGCACCACGGGGCTGAGCCCCAGCAAACCCGCCCATCGCGGTCGCCCGCGCAAAGAACGGCACCTAACGCACCACCGAACCTTTCCCCATGAAGTCGCAAAAAGTTTTGCATAGCGCCCCGACCGCCCAAAATAAAAAGACGCCGCGGGATCTGAATGACCCTAGACCCCCCTCTCGTCAGAATTGGTGCGGCCGAATCTCCGCCTCAAGGAACGGATATTGATGAAGCGGGCGCCTTGGCCTCTGGAAACACAATCATCAGAGGAGCAGCTCGAGGGGGGGCGCCCCACCCCGCCTCCGACAAAGGCCGCCGCAATAGCAATGCCGCCACCAACCCACGTGCGTGGGATGGTTCTCCTGGCGCCGAGCCATGCGAATTGCAGGGTTCAGTGGGCGGTCCTCGGTGCCCGTGCTGCGTCTGGGGTCGGGCAGTTCTTCCAAACTGTTGGGGGGGCGGCAATGGTTTTGGGAAGCCCAGCACGACTCTAAACATTTCCTCGGTGTTTTTTTGAAGGCCTCAGCAACCGCTGCGTTAACCGCGCCGCCGGTCAGAGGTCGCGGGCCTCCTCCATGAACCGAGAAAAGCGCCGGACGATAAGCCATTGCACGGAATGACGTCGTTCCCCCCACGCCCGGACCCACTTCATTGTTCTCGCCCCTTCTCCGAGCCTATCCTGCTTTCCTCGACGTCTGCGGGGGCGCTCCGCGACCTCAACTACACGGAAGTTCATTACAACACACAAACACACCTCCCCAAAGAGTAGAAAATGGGAACGCGCCCACAGACAACTCAGAAAAAAAAAAAAAGCACAATATACGGAGAGATGCCCAATCTCTCAAATAAATACCGTCGAGCCAGCGCTTGTATGAGTCATTGCTCTTCCCCCCTGCCTCAAATAGGGAGGGCGTGGCAATGAAGAGTACAAACAGTTTGGCCCCGTACACCCAACATCCCCACACATCGGAAACGCTCTATCCAACGCCCACGTAGGCCAATAAAAAAATTCGTTCACAAATCAATCCACGACGACCGGGCTCTCGTCGCAACCTCAAAAAGTGACAGCCATCGGGGTCCCGCAACAGCCGGGCCCCTCCCCTGTGCGGGGGGCGCCGCTACGACCACTAGTGGTAGCAGTAGCGGGGGGTAAGCGGGACGACAGAAAAAAAAAAAAAACCGAACAAAAACAAGTTGCACTCGCTGCACCCCAATGCAGTACCATCGCTGGAAACAATAATCAAGCCATGGGTAAAGAATCCGGGCAATTCAACAAGACATGCCGTCATCCAAATGGCTCCGTCCCGTCGCACATTCCCTTCACAGGCCTCTGGGAACAAAACCAAAAAGAAGGAGTATCTCAACGAACCCTTTTCAAGTAAGTGTCGCACAAAAAAGAACGACTGCGACCACCAAAAGGAAAAAGGGAAAGTGTGCCCTAAAAAAACGACCGGCGGACACATAACGACCGTGGATGAGAAGCCCCCAGGCGACTTGAAACACACTAAACGAGCCCGCGGCGGTGAGAGGATGGTCCCTCAGCACGCAGGCCACATAAGAGTGGCAGTTATTTGTAAAAAGGTTGTACAACTGGGTTTTCCTAAAATGCTTCGTAACGCGTTCCACTGCGGCGTCGTATTCCTCCACTTCCCGTCGACACGTCTCCTCCGTCGTTCGCGGGTTCTCGCCCTGAGGACAGTAAAACGTTGGAACATACATTCTAGAAATATTCCAATATTTTGCCGGGTTGCCAAAAAGCATTTTATCCACGCCAATATGATACGGACCCTCAAAGTCATGAATACGTCCAGCAGAGTCGCAAATTCCTACATGCCCAATAAAAGGAAAAATCCATGAAAGAACAGGAATGGGTGTCCATACAATGCAGAAAGGGTAATGTTCTTCCGACGGGTCAATCCGAGGCGGAAGAGGTAGCGCAACAGACCTATTTTCCCCCATTCCCTTCCGTCCTGTCATGAATCTGGCGGCCAGAAAAAAAAAAACAAAAAACGCTAATCAACCCAAAGCAAAAAAGAACTACTAAAAATGCCACTACAAACCTTCAAACGGCTTCGCAGAAGAAAGAGTGAAGAAGAAAGAAGAGACAAAATGCACTCCACCAGGCAGTTGTGTGTCAATAATGCGCTGTCACTTTCCGCCCCTTGAAACCCAAAGCAAGCAACCACTCACGCAAAGTATATAGAGAGAATAAAGGAGGGGTGCGCCTTTCTCTCTCTCCTTCCCAGTGCGCCCATCCCCTTTCCCAGTGTATCCGTTTTGTTTTTTTAAGTTGCCACAAGAAGCCGCAAACACATACAGAAAGAGAAAAAAATTGACACACAAAAAATTCCCGCCAATAACCCGTTTAAAAATTCCTAACACGAAAAAAAAAAAAAAAAAAGGAAACATGGATGACATGGATAACATGCAAACGCAACAAGGAAATACAAAAAAAAAAGTAATCTCGGCACTTGGGGGAACAAGTCGTGAAGGGCGTGGCCTTCTTTCCGGGTTACACTGCGACCCTCCCGGCCTGTGTGCCGCTCGC